CTTCGAATGTTCTTCAGAGCAGTGCTGTCCCCGTGGCTGCATTGAGACTAAAAATCAACGGTGATTAATCACCTGCTGATGCTGCTGCTGTAATCGGAGTGAGGCAGATGCAAGCACGCTCAGCGCCGGCAAAACTTCAGAACGGAATATCGCTCACGGTTTTGCCTGCTACGCGCTTGTCAGCGCCGTCTGATGTACTGGGGGCAGGGAAAGCTCCCTACTGGACCATTGGATGACAGCGTCCATTTATAAAATATCTTCTCTGCCTATTCGAACAAGATTGAACGAGGCGTGGAAAGAGCTTCACTATGACTCCCATCGTTCTTAAAACGGTGCCAAAAGGTTACGCCGTTTTCTTTTCATGAGAGACTAAATTTGTCAGCCGTTTCAGTTGACACCCCCTCAACGGAGCATCGGAAAGTGCTCATCTGCATTGGTCAGCCAGTGGTGGAAATTCCATATTCATTTGGCGTGGACCCGTCTCTCCATAGCACGACCGACCGTTATTGACTTCTTATAAAGCAATATCTATTTTGGATGGATGATAGGCTGAGGCGACATCTGGCCAGGATTTGAACCCGTGACCTTTCCAACTGTGAGTCGATCGCCCTCACCAAAGTGCCACCAGGCCAGGTAAATAATGATCACACGAATGCAGTGATAGCATAATTATCGGAATACAATACCTATGATAGACATTAGCTTCAAGTCGATTTGTCTTCAGAAGATTTCCAAAGACAAAATGGAAAAGTCATATTCTGATGCTAACAACCACAGCCATGTAATGATTCAGTTTTGGGCATATGATGCTTTGACCAACAGTGGATAGACCATGGCTTATGATGATATGGCCCGATATGTAGCCCTGATGAGATCTTTCACGGTGCAACGCTCCTCCAGTAGCCGACGGACCAGGAGATGTCCCATGGTCTGTGTCTCACCGCGGTCACGCGCGCCAGACTCGCGAAAGTATCCCCCACTTCTGTATGTTGGCTTTTGACCTGCCCACTCGAGTCCAAGGGCTACGCATGTACATTGAACTTGATTCGCGCAGTACGTAGCCAACCGTGCTACTTCGGAGGTGAGGGGGGAAGAACACCAAACTAAGCACAAAAATCAGTTCTAAAGAATTGAGTTTTCAATGCTAGATGTAAGAGTGCATGGCTCCCAGTAGCTTCCTTAATTTCTGAAGGACGAGCGTTCCAGACGGGCCCCAGAAGCGCATCTAAACGCGTGCGATGCGATGACCGCCTTTGTCCGATGGCCAGCCAAAAGCCGCCGCTACGAGGATGATGACGACGACGATCGGAGTTCGCGTGATTTTAAATACGCACACACGCACGCACAGACGCACACGCACGCACAGACGCACACGGGCTCTCGCGCGCGTGCGCGGTTGGGGGTGCGCTCACCTCCCCCTCCTTCTCTTCAAGGCATCGGGCGCGCCGCGTGGAGCTGTCTGTGGTGCTGAATTAAATCTCTTGCCCGGGGGCCATTCCCATTCCATTCTAAATGGCTTTGTGCGCATTAACATAAACACTCTCAGGTATATGCCAGAACATTTACGCGAGAGAAAAAAAAGGAACATTGTTCTACGATTAGACTTTTTTTATTGTTTAATCCGGAGCCGCGAAGCCCCAGCGGGGTGGGTCGGTCCCACCCAGCGCTGACGGGCAGGTAGCCTCGCCGCCACCGTTTGACGACTTTGAGCCGACTGTGGCTCGCGCTCGTCGGTGCGACGACGCCGCCAGCGCACTCAGATCCACCCACGTGCAAGCCCCGATTTGCTCAACGAATTCGTCAACCCGCTGCTCAAAACCATCGAATGCTTTCAACTCGTAGGGCGCGTGTGATTTTTTTTTGGCTCGCTCTCGAAGAGGGATAGCGAGCGAGAGAATGCGGACGACTCTCAGAGGCGCGAGGAGGAACCACGGTCGAGCGGGAAGGCGGCAGCCAGCGCCAACAATTGCCCAAGCTCTGCGAGCTCCTCTATATAGCGATGTGTTATCAGTCAATCAACGAGTGTTTAAATGTGGGCAAAAACCGGATGGCCTAGAGAAAGTCGACCGTGTGTTTAGTTGCTTGTTGTATTTCGTTTGTCGTCCTTCCCCCGTGCCTCCAATTAAATTGGCTGGCTACGTACGGTGTGAAAGAAGTTCAACATACGTGTGCTGTACTGCCTTCTCCTGGCAAGCCAGGGCATGACACTTGGACGCACGAGGGGAGTTTCACGACGTTGGTGTGATCCGCCAACCCTCGCTGCCTCCACGGTGCTGGACTACAGACGTGCTTAGTCACCACCACCCGGCCTAGACGATAGCGTCCCGGCATCATTCGGGTTCGTGGGATTATTTCACCGTACTTCACCACGCTGGTCAGTGCAGCTCGGCGCAAGTCGCGGAGCACGGTCGCGATAGCGCAGAAGTACAGTACAACAATGAATCTTGCCTCAGTGCCCTCAGACCTTGAGGCCTTTGCCAGATGATGTATGGAACAAGGGCACAGAAGGTCAACCACGCGGGACAATAAAAGGCCGACTCCGGGAGCAAGACAGACGAGCGAGGGATGCGGCCAAGGGAACGTATGAGAACGGCGAAGAAAGAGGGGAAAGCGACGTCTTGCCGTGGCACGAGGAATGATTTGGTATTGGTGTGACGCGTACGATGGAAGCTCTTCACCTTGCAGCGGATAGAGCAAGGCTGACATTGACGACGGCCACGACACATCACGGACCGTGACCTGGAATGCGCGGCGGAGTCGGCGTTGGTGCAGTCAGTACACAACAGCAGTGGGTCGAGACTGGCTGCTGATGATCAGGTAGAAGAGTGCTTTTACTCCAGAATGTAGCTGCACACGAGTCTAATCCCTACCCCCAACCCACGCGTGAAGTACATTTTTCTTGCCAGGAAACGGAGCTGTTAAGAACTCACTAATAGAAATGGAAACATGCGAGTCTAAAATGTGCCACCTGGACCGCGGGAGTGCGAATTTCAGCTGCAAGAAGAAAGGTGGTGGAATATTCCACGCGGGATTGGGCGAGGCGGCGGTGGTGGCGGTGGTGGCGGTGGTAACGCTGTTGGCCGTGTTGCATTGGATACGATCTTTGACGTTTAAACGTTGAAAATAAATATGTCCAAGACAAGTTTATTAAAGTTTTTTTTTTTTTCTGGCAGTGCAGTCTAGTAAATGTGAATTACGTTCTGTGTGTGTGTGCACCCGTGTGTGTAACCGTGTGTATCTGTGTGTGGGTGCTGTAGTGCAACGATTAGTGTGCTGTGCTATGAACCCGGCCACCTGCGTTCGATTCCCGCACACAGTCAACACCAGCGACACTTATCTGAAGCGGCCCTGGGCCTCCCCTAGGTCGACTCAGCCTCAATTGAGTACCCGGTGCGGTGCGTAAACATCGCAACTTGGGAGACAAAGCCGTTGTGCTGGCCACCCACCCCATCGTGTGCCGTGCCGACCTTCAAAGGTGCTTGCTAACAGAATTTGCCCCAAAAGTCTTTTAAGGCTTCATAGGGGATCTTTGTTGTTTTTGCTGCGTTATGATTCTGATAATTCCAGGTATAATTCCTGCCCCTGAAATGCATACATTTGCATCCAGTATTTCAACCGGTCCTGGACCTCTGCTAGGTCACCTCAGCCTCAAATGAGCACTTGGTGTAATGCAAGAACATTATCATTTGGGAAGCAAGCGGATGGGCATTGTTGTGTGCCCACCACCCCCTGGTGTGTAATGCTGGGCATTATAGATGCTCGCTAGCAGCACTTATCCTCGAGGTCTATGGAAAATCTTTGTCTATTCATGCGCGTGTCTTATATTATGCATGTGTTTGTTGCGTTAACTGTGCATATGTATTCATGCTACGTTGTTGGCAGGCAATCAAAACCAGCTCTACTCTAGTTTTGTGCTCTCAATTTTTTGCCAACCCCGCGCTGACCAGAGTGGTGAAGTATAGCCAAATAACCCCCACGACATGAACGGCATGGGGAGACCCTTATCCAGGAGTGGATTGTCAAGGGGGCTGTACATGCGCACATGTTTATAGGTGCGTACCATACGTGTCTTTGTGTGCTTCATTTGTTTATCGTGTTGCGTGTGATATTAATTATATTTATAACAATTAGAATAGCATTGTTAGTTTTTATATCGCGCAGTCGTTGATGCGAGTTGCATCTCTCGGTATGTGGGGATCCAAAGACGAGCTGGAAGGCAGCAAGTGAGCTGGCGCTACCAACTATTGCCCAAGCTCTGGCGCCCTCGCTATATCAAGGTGTTATCAGCCGCTTGATGAGAGTTTACATGGGGGAGGACCCACGCATGGACGGATGACCATCAATCCGCAAATGATTTTCGTAGCATCTGCGTGTGATCCGCCAACCCTCGCTTTGTCATCCGCGTCAAGTGCATTCAGGTGCAAGCAATGACCCAGAAGGCACGACAAGGCCTCCTTCGTGAGCTCGTGGCTGGATACATAACGCACACACCCGTGCCGACGGCTGGGACTGGTCCGTATCTAACGCGCGAGTGCGCGTGTCTCTGTCTGTAACGCAGCGGCAAGACGTCACACGAGATTGGGCTCAGGGGGGGGGGGGGGGGCTGATAACGTCAGAGTCGCTGGGGAGGTTTGATTGGTGGAGTATTGACATTACGCCAGATCGGGGTTGTGACGTCACGCGATGGGAGCGATGACGTCAGAGACGCTGGGGAGGTGTTGGGTGAAGGGTTGACATCCCACTACATTGGGGTTGTGAGGAGAGGGGCGATGACGTCACGCCACGCGGGCGAGGTGGTGGGCGAGCGGAGCGATGACGTCAGAGACGCTGGGGTGGTGAAGTCGTCAATCTCCGTGTACGCATTCACCATCGGGGGGATGATGACACAAATACATCGCGGCGTGCAACCGCATCGCAATCTACTGCCGCCGTGCCGTGAGTGACGCACGCCCGCGGGTGCCCGTGCGTGCGCGTGCCCCGGCTGGCCCGGCCACCCTCACCTTGATGGTCTTGGTCTGCAGGCGGAGGCCGTTGAGGGTGTTGATGGCCTTCTCCGCGTCCTTGGGGTCCACGTAGTTCACGAAGCCGTAGCCCAGGCTCTGACCTGAGGGGGAGAGAGGAAGGGTGGGTGGAGGTGGGAGAAAGGTGGTGGGGGAATTAGCAGCTCCACGCATAGCCACCCCGCCCAGCAGACAGTCCCACATCAGAATATTGACAACGGTGTCAACATTCTGCTCTGTCTTCAACACACACACACACCGGACGGTTTTCTGCAAAGCAAAATCAAACCGAGACACGACTGCCCACCACGTGAACACTTGACTGGTTTGGCTGCGTTGGGTGGCGAAGGGCGCACAGCTGCGATTGAAATCAATTTCTGACCGAATCAGAAATGTATTTACGTGCCCGAATATTGGTCGCTGGTTTATCTGACCCTTATAGAGTTACGTTGGGCACCAACAGTAAAGTCTGGACATCAGTCCAAACGATTGACCAACAAATGAATGCAGATGCGACTGTCTTCCTGAAGTAGGCAAAGTACAACTTATAATTATTCATTAGAGGGAGGTCTCAGAGTACGCGGACCGGCTCATACACGAGAGACCCCGATGCATTCTACACGTTGTGACTCGGACGTTCGCTACACACACGGGGCGAGAAGCAAGCAGTCAAATCCGCCCCCCCCCCCGCCACCATCACGTGACCGTGGATTTGACGGCACGTAACTATTGCCCAGTGCAAGAAATTAGTCCAAAAAAGATAGTGTTCTAATATAGTGTTAATATTATATATTGTTAACACTAATATGTTATTTAATAATAATATAGTGTTAATACTATATATTGATAACACTAATATGTTATTTAATAATAATATAGTGTTAATACTATATTTTGATAACACTAATATGTTATTTAATAATAATATAGTGTTAATACTATATATTGATAACACTAATATGTTATTTAATAATAATATAGTGAGAATTTTATTGCTTTATATTTTCATTATTTTATTGTTTCCCTTCTACGTGACTTTACCGAAAGAACTAAGAATATAATAATATTATAGTAATAATAATATAATATTAATAATATAATATGAATAATAATGTTGTGTTAATAATATAGTCTTCTACCTGATCTGGATGCTGCCGATGATTAGTGAATCATTTACTGTCCAGTGCTGCACTTTAATAAATATGTACATTTAGATACATTTTATATCCGCTCTTAAATGTTATGTATCACACTCGTATAGGCGAACCCCAACTTAGGCATATCCGCGCTTGGGGTACGCGAAACCTAAGCCCTGCCACATGCTCTGAGACCTGACTGTATGATGTTGTTAGAATTTGCCCGAGTAAAGATTCATTTAAAAAAACACATGAATTTAAATATATAAATAATTGCCACAATAAACGAAAAACAAGTCGCCGGATGAGTTCCCGGGATGAACGAGCCTCCTTTGTACATTGAAATTCAGAATCAATTGTACATGAATGCAGCATAAGTCTATATATAGCTACACGTTACGATTTAACAACGTGCAAAATTGACTCGTAACCTCTTGCTGCCATTACACTCGCATTTAATAACTCTCATGCATGTCCTTGAGATGCAGGCGCATTCAGATGTCAGAGCACGTACACGCTGAATCGTATCGACCCCACCCGTTCGCCATTCACAAAACAAAAAAATGTGACCTCTGAACTTTGGGGGGGGGGGCGTTCAGAGTCGGCCCAGGGCCCCTGGGCGTGTGTGTGGCCACGTGGTGGGGGAGGGAGGGAGGGAGGGAGAGGGGACGGGAGAGGGGGTTCACCAAAATCCAAGTCTTATTTTGCCTCCTGAATCTGCGAAGGAGGTGGTTGGTGGGAGGGCGCGCAACGTTGACGCCACATTTCAATGACGTGGGGGAGGAGGGCGCGGAATAATAATAACGAGTTCAGATACTTGTGCAGGTAGCCAGGGAGTGAGGTCGCTAGCTAGGTAGGCAAGTAGGTAGGTGGATACACACATATATTCGATAGAGATACGAGGTAGGTTTTGTTGCTTGGTCGACTAGTGAATAGGAAGGAATGTATGCATGTTGGACTTATTTCGCACCGTACGTAGCCAATCGTGCTCAGCGGAGGTGCGGCGGGGTGGACAACCAAAGGTGGACAAGTCAGTTACAGAGGGAGATTCTACCCAGGTGAACCAACGTGCAATTGGGCTGGCACACGTGCTACGTTTGATTGCATGAAGAAGCGTGGAGAGAGACGCACGCTTGGACTTACACTGCGAAGCTGAGAAGGGATGAGGAACGCGCCGATTTGAGAACACACGCGTGGCAATGACATCTTTCACAATGTTGAGAAGAGTGAGCAGGGCTTGGGCAGGACGACGCGTCACGGCTAGAGAACGGACGACGGTGGTCGATTGTCGAGAATCGATAACGGAGTGGCGGCCGAGGAACGGAAGATGTCTGAGGTGAACGTATACCGAGGAGATGGAATCATCCCATGCGCAAGTGCTGGATGGATCGTTACATCACAGGATCGCGCGAGAGGTGGTGGCGTGCCAAGAAGGCCTTCATCCAGCAGAGGATTGATCAAGGCTGATGATGATGTCAGTCATGGGTAGGCTGGTTAACTGATAGGTTAAAAAGTAGGTAGATAAGTGGATGGGTAGGCAGGAAGGAAGATAGATAGGGAGACCTCAGTGGAAAATGAAATTATAAATAAAGCCACAAAAGTACAGGATATTCTGCGGACATGTGTTTACTTAAATTCGTACAAATCTGGCATGTGGGGAATATTTATTCCATATATTACAGGCACAATAAAACCCCAGCATGCAAATGTTGAAATTTCTCTCAACAAACTTGCAATAAATAAATAAATTACCACGCTGTTGCCACGGTTACCCAGGTGTTCCTTTGCAAAAGAGAATAATGAATCTCGGCGGGCTTCCATCTGGCTAAATAAAGCGGCGGTGAATTACATTAGCAGTTGTATTATGGGCTAAAGACACCTTTGCAACAAAAATAAAGAGTTCTGGGTTGGCTTAATCTGGAGGATCAAACTCTGCTCCACTCAGTGCAAATTGGGGTTCAGTGGCGATCGCCGCTTAAGTCAAGTAAACACTTCGCCTGCCTTACTCGCTTGGCCGCAAATGGCTACGGCGCTTTGACTCACAATCTGAAAAGTTCCAAGTGCTAAAGCCAGTTCTCCGGGGCGAGGGTAAACTCAGCCACATTACTCATCCTGGGTTAATGCAATTGGTGCAACTTACGGAAGAAATTTGACGGTCTCCGTTCAACAATTTTTTTTTATTAAATCAGGTAAGGCCCACTGAGCCGCTTCAGAAGCCAGCTTGGCTATCACAAAAGATAGCTCAACGAAGTGGCTTATCATCACGTGGATGATAAAACTGGACGACCTGCAGAGAAATCCACGCGACCATGGGGAGAACATGCAAACTGCAAATATACAGCAGCAGGCTTCAGTGGTTGGGATCGAACCCACGAGCACCTGTATACCAGGCGAGGTAGTTAACATCTCGCCACCACGGCGCCCTGTTCTACGTACAGACTGGAGCATGCCAGAGGAATGTGGGACATTCGTCACCGGGCTCAGAGCAGGGAGATAAGCGCTGCCCAATAGTGGGATTGAGTAGAAAGAATACGTGCAAATTTTGTGGCATCGGATCATAACTGGATCTCCAAACGTGGATTAGCAAACCGAAGCAAGCTCTTGACAATCACAGGGACGGGCTGCCATTAGGGCATCCCCCTAGGCAAAAAATAAAATAAAAACGTCTGCACTCTGAGACGTTTTGTTGTGGTTTAGGGTGTAAGATATATTATTATGTATTAAGACGCTGTACAGAAGCAGTGGGCATGTTTATTTAATGGAGAGGGAGAGAGAGGCGGACAGGCACAGTCAGAGGGAAGGAAGCACTGGGGCAGGGAGTCATGAGCATGGATGGTTGGGGGAAATAGGAGCTCCAGACCAAGGGGGCAGCAGAGGAGAATCATCTCCATTTTATATTTTTTTGTGAAATAACTTGTGCAAAGAATAACTTTTTTTTTCATAGCCAACGGACGTCGCAGATTAAAGCGAACAGTGCGGCAGGTTACACCACGTCACAGACGGGCGGCCTAGCGAGATCCTTTACGCACCGACCTCGTATTGCACAATGCCACCACTTCTATTCATCCGCTGCGTTTCTCTGCACAGCAACAATAACGAGGACGGCCGTATCCTTTACCAGGTAAGGCCCACTGAGCTATTGTTTCTGTGATCGGTGCTCTGCGCCAGGCTCGTGTTGAAATTAAAAAGAACAACACCCGCCACGTACGGGCAGGGCAAGTCGCTACGCACAAGGCGGTGGCCGATGGTCAAGAATAATTGTAGAGCCGCAGCATGCAACACCATATTCGAAATGCGATGGGGATCATCGCTGCCGGCTCACCTGACAGGTACTCACAACCCTGCGGCTTCTGTCGGCCGGATTGGCACTTCAATCGCTCCCCTTCTTCCTCATTCAAGGCACTACTCCCCCTAACTCGGACCGCGCTGAGTGGAGACTTCGCCGGGTTCTCAAGTGGGAACTACCCCCTCGATCCGCCACTCGACGCACCTCTGACCTCCCTGCCGCCTGTTTGGCTCTGCCACCGCACGTTCCTCTTCAGCCAGATCCAACGGGATGTCGCTTCTGCCCGCTTGCTGACGTCAGCCAACCACCTCCGTCCTTGCCACCCCTTCGATGCCGAGCAGCCCCAGAGCTCTCCGGAGTGATTGTCCCGAGAAGCTCCCGCCGCAGCCGACCTCAACTGGGAGATTCCAGTCTCTCCATCCGGTCTGCTGGCTCCCAAGGATGGGGGACTCGCATTTCCTGAGCTTCCGCTCATGCGCCTCCTCCATCCTCTCCTCCCAGGGCACTGTGAGCTCGATGAGGACCACCTGCTTGGTTCCTCTACACCAAAGGACGATGTCTGGTCTGAGGCTTGTGCTGGCTATCGCCTCTGGGAATCGAAGTTGCTTCTAGGGCAGGGGTGGGGGGGGGGGCGATGTTGCTGCTGCTGTGTAATCCCAATTGAGAAATCAGATTTTTTTTT